CCCAAGAGCTGGGATTACAGGGGTGCGCCACCATGCCCAGGCTCAATCACTGTCTCAGCACAACTTGGGGGACGGGGCTGGCACCGCACGCCGGGGATTGAACCCTACCCCTGCGCTGTGCCCTGTGCTCTTCTAAGCAGGTGCTTCAATCCGCTGAGCTATTTGGCTAGCCCTGGTTGATTTCTTGATGATAGCTGTTCTTTCAGGAGTGAGACAAAATCTCCACAGCACAGTGTGCAGTACAATACTTCCCTCACTGGACGGATTCCTAGGTATTTCATTTTTTGGATGCCCTTATGTAAGTGTTATTTCCCTAATTTCTCTCTCAGTGAGTTTGTTATTCATGTACAGGAAGAATATTGGTTTTTTTAAAAGAGAATTTAAAAAGCCAGTAAAAATTATCCCCCAGATAGAGTGGCTATCAAGAGATCAACCAATAACAAATGCTGGAGGGGCTGTTGGGAAAAAGGAGCCCTTCGCCATTGTTGGTGGGAGTGTAGACTCGGGCAACCGCTGTGGAAATCAGCGTGGAGATTCCTCAAAAAGCTAGGATTGTAGGTCCCATTAGACCTAGCTCTTCCCCCTTTGGGTGTCTTCCCAGGAGGATTAAAAACATCATACCACAGCGATATATGTGCATCCATGTTTATAGCAACACAATTTGTCATAGCTAAATCTTAGAAATAACACAAATGTCCATCAACTGAGGAATGGATGAAAAGGATGTAGTTTTGTTTTTGTTTTTGTTTTTTTGTTTTTTTTTTTTTTGTGGAACGGGGGCTTGAACTGAGGCCCTTGTGCTTGCCAGGCAAGTGCTTATTCTACTGAGCCATCTCCCCAGCCTACGATGTAGTATTTTTATACAATGGGGGCTTACTCAGTTATAAAGCAAGATAAACTCAGGGCTTTTATAGGCTATTGATTTTTCAGTGTTAACTTTGTATCCAACTGTGCTACTGAATTTGGCTATTAGATCTAGAAGTCTTAGGGGCTGGGGATATAGCTCAGTGGCGCAGCCCCTGCCTGACAAGCACAAGGTCCTGAGTTCAATGTCCAATGCCAAAAATAAATGAATAAATAAATCTAAAAGTCTTTTGGTAGAGTTTTGGAGTCTTCCGTGTACAATATCACATCATTCACAAATAATGATAATTTAACTTCTTCCTTTCCTATTCCTACTCCTTTTCTTTCTTTCTTTCTTTCTTTCTTTCTCTCTTTTTTTTTTTTTTTTTCTTTTTTTTCGGGACCGGGGATTGAACTCAGGCCCTTGCGCCTGCCTGGGAAGCACTTATTCCACTGAGCCATCTCCCCAGCCCCTCTTTCTTTCTCTTGCGTAATTGCTCTGGCTAATGTTTCCGGAACTACATTGAGTAAGAATGGACATCCTTGTCTTGTTCCTGATTTTAGAGCAAAAGCTTTCAGTTTTTGTCCATTGGGTGTGATGCTGGCTGTTAGTTTGTCATAAATGGCTTTTATTGGATTGAAATGAAGACTATCTATTCCAATTTTCTGTACTTTTTTTTTTTTATCATGAATGGGTGTTAGACTTTGTTAAATATTTTTTCTATATCTATTGAGATCATGATTTTGTCCTTGGCTCTGTTCATACGTTGAACCATCCCTGCATCTCTGCGTTGCATCTTTTTTTTTTTAATTTTATTTATTTATTTATTTATGTGTGTGTGTGTGTGTGTGTGTGTGTGTGTGTGTGTGGCCAGCTCAGCCCACCAGGGGGCAGGGCTGGCTGGCATGTGGTGCTGGG